GTGTGTGTGTGCATGTGTGTGTGCGTGTGTGTGTGCGTGTGTGTGTGAGAGAGCGAGTGAACTTTGTCAGCCAAAAAAGCTGGAAGGCTGAAATTTTGGGAGAATATATTTACCACCTCCTCTTATAAAATAATCGCCCATACGCACTTGGATCTCGCGTACGGACCCCGAAAAAATATATGTTTCTTTGGCATATACCGATTTTGGAAACAGAGAAGGGAGGAAGTTAAAATTTTGCAGAGATATTCTTTGTGCATGTTTGAGCTAAAGATTTCATATTCAGTTATCGCACACATTTGCATCGCATGTGCGATCACGGCAAGGTGTGCAGTTGGCACCGTGCCAACTCGGAAACTAAATGAAAGATGATAGCTGATATTTTGTCGGAATATTTATCGTTCATCTGGGAAGTCGTATGACTAAATAGAATTTCACTTGCGCCACATTCCTAAATAGGGCATGTCAAAGGTATAGCTTATTCTATACTCACACGTGGTCCTTGTGGTTTCACCACAATCAGTTTTATCGCGAACTCAAAAGCAGGTGCATTTTGCGGATTTCTTAGTCTTAACTTTCCATTATTTGACTTGTCTGACAGTTGGTCAATTTTCATGGTCAAGTTCCCTGAAACCCGTTTAATTTATGCGTTTTATCGATACCTGCTAAGACGTATCTTGTCTGGAATATCGTAGTCCGAAAGATTTTGATGATTTTCATGTGCTTGATGCGGGTGGTAATTTAATTAAAACAAGAAATCTATAGAGTCAAGTCCGTTTTTTCTTATTTTTATTCCGTCCATTTTATTCCGTCCTAATTTTTTACTGTTTCCATTTATAGTACCAAATAACTTCAGATTATTCAAAATCACCAAGACGTTTTGCTGGAACGGCAAATAATGGCAGCAGTAGAGGCAACAATCGGAAGCGCAAACAGGGTGACCAAAATCCCAATGCCATCATTAGCCCCAATTATTCATTAGAAGTGCTGATGAGCACCGATTTCCCGCAAAATATGGAAATTGGAGAGTTGGCTAGGCGTATCGCAGAGGCATTGGGTGAGCGCGATGCAAAATTCATGACAAGGTTCAATTTTTAGCATAAATTTTCATGCGACGCTACACTTTTTCAGACTTTCTTATGATTTTTTACAGTTACTTTTTGCTACAGCGAATTGCTAAAGTTGGATAGCGTATGGTTTCTGCATTACCTGAATACCGTTGCGGTGCACAGGCACGAGCGACTACGCGAGAAGGAGCAGGACATGTTGCTTACCTTACTGACAGCCAAAGGACGTCACGTGTTTGTGTATGGTAGCCTTGGGGAACTAAACGATATTCGATCGGCCTCTTAAAAGCTGGCTCCTTTGATCAGCTGCAATTCGTAATGCAGATCTCCAGCTGAGCAGCAATATTTTTCCTGTTACTTTGAGCTATTTGAAAGTTAATAGTAGTTAAAGAAAACGTCATGTAAAGAAAGGAAAAAAAAGGAAAGGAAGAAAGGAAAAAAAGAAAATGGAAAAAAATTATGACTTTTTTGAATTTTTTAAAAATTATTTTTATAAAAAATTTACTTTAAAAAAGAAAAGTAAAGAAATATGCACTCTCACCTGGCACAATGTGCTAATGCTTCTGACGTTTGCTCCATCTCCAGAAGGCATCATCAGCGCGGCTGTTTTCTCGATAGAAGCTTTTGGCGGGGTTTTAGCCCTTTGGAAATGTCATTGGTTTGTGCTGATCATCATCATCTTCTCTTGAAGATTTTTACCTCTAGACCGCGGGGTATTTTGCTAGCTAGAGGATTAA